TGTTTTCTGCTTTGAAAGTTCTGCTTTTCTAAATTTAGCTAGCCTACCTTATTGAGTAGGGGAGACAGAATAATTTATATATGTCTTCATCTTTGAGGGCACCAAGAGAAGGGGTTCCATTTTGCATTTTTGATACGGGCAATGCAGTATTTATCTTATGCTTTCCAGTCCACCTCTTCACTATTGACATTGAACATATAGTTATCATATGGGGGTTGAAGATTTCTTTTTCATAACACCTAATACTTCAGCATGAAATCTCTCTTCCTCTCTGTCCTTCTCGCTATCTCACTTCATCTCTCTCTCTCTCTCTCTTTCTCCCTCCCTCCCTCCCTGTCGGAGCTTGTCCCCCTGGCCATCTGTCATACCATGTTTATGGTCCCTTTTGCTTTTGTGTCCTGATGACCACTGTCACCGGAAGGTTCCCATTACCGATGCGCCCTGATGAACGATGTCGCCCAGATGCCTCGCTGCTGACACACCCGTGTCCTTGGCTGCAGTGGCGTTTGGCGGGTAAAGAATGGGGACAGGGGGACCTGGTGGTTGAGGACCTGTCCGTCATTCACAGGGGTGGGATGGACTGGGTGTTTCGATCTTTACGTCTGCAGTGGAGAGACACCGACCAATGAAATTGTGATGATGTCGTCCGGCATGGTGTGCTGATAATACCATCCATTCATACCAGTATGAATACTGCCCTTGACTTTCACCTGCACACATAACATCAGACACAGTGATCATAGGCTAGCCTTTCCAGACTGTACAGGTTGCACTGCATTGTTAGGTGGCTCAGGTTTGCTACTTTGTATATTGCCACCAACATCAGATACATTTGGATATGTTTGATTTCTCTATTACTCATATCGTATGACCAATATGCATTTGACTGGTGTGTGATATTGAAATGAAATCTGAACAGTATTTGGTACAGTATATAGGAAGCTGGATGTTTTTCATTCACATTTGAAATAAAATGGGAGGAATAAAGACATTGATTTGGAACATGTAAAATAACAGGCAGAAGGAATCAATACATTCATTTATAGTATACCGGCACAGGAACATTCTGCCTGTACAAAATACAACCTAATTTAATCAGACCTCCCTTTCCTTTTGTCACCCTCCCCTCTCTCTCTCTTTCTCTCTCTAACTCTGTGAATGTCTTCACTGGGCAGTGGAGCCGCTGATGAATTCTTAAGCAGATCACACTGATAATTGTATTTCATAACTGTCAGCTGTGCGAAGGCTGTCCGTGGAGGGAGGGTGACTGCCAGTGCACTGAGGAGCTATTTGTGTCATCGCCGTGTCTCCCGTGTCTCCCAATCACCAGGGATGTGCTTACTGTCTTCAGCCTCGAATTACTCAATCAGGAGGACACATTTATGGATGACACCTTTATTACAATTAATCAGGGGAACTTGATTAAGAAAGTTATTCCTCCTCCTCAGTGAGATTCGGGGTGGCGCGGCTGCATATTCTAATTTATGTCCCACTGAGTCCTTGTGACCCTAACAGACAGAGAGACAGACATGTTTCCAGCAGTACTGAAGTATGCACACACACACTGCTAGCCTACATGCTTCAAAAAGAAGGTGCTATCTAGAACCTAAAAGGGTTCTTCGGCTGTCCCCATAGGAGAACCCTTTGAAGAATCCTTTTTGGTTCCAGGTAGAACCCCTTTGGTTCCAGATAGAACCCTATTGGGTTCCATGTAAAACCCTTTCCCCAGAGGGTTCTTCATGGAACCCAAAAGTTCTACCTGGAACCAAAAAACAGTTATCTTATGGGGACAGCTGTAGCTCAGTTGGTAGAGCATGGCTCTTGCAACACCAGGGTTGTGGGTTCGATTCCCACGGGGGGCCAGTATGAAAAATGTATGCACTCACTAACTGTAAGTCGCTCTGAATAAGAGCGTCTGCTAAATGACTAAAAATATTTTTAAAAAACAACATAAAACATTTGAGAAGTGCAAAATAATGACATTAGTATGGAAAGTGCTCGCAAGAGAAACCTGTGTGTTCATATTTCTATGCGATACAAAATTAGTAAAACAAACATATTATTATATATTTTAAAAAATGTAACTCACCAGGAAATAAATATTGGAAAGTCACCTGTTTTTACCTTAACTCACAATGTTTGGGTGTGCATTAACTAATTAGTTCAGTGTGGTTTTGTAACGAGGGGAAGAGTGATGGTGGTTGAGGGAGTTGGGGTTGAGGGGTCTGAGTGATTCTTAGTGACTGAGAGTGGACCTGAGCCATGACAGAGTCAGCCACTAAGGCACCAGGTTATACCATACCACACCGTCAGAATGATGTCTATGTTAGGTGTGCCAGTATGGGAACAGGGATGGCAGAGTCTAAAGTAACACTGAGGTTGATTTAATATATAGAGTACCCAGCTGATCAAATTGATTTGATGTATTACACCACTGGCATTTCACTAAACTGTGGACAGTATTTTCGATGTATTCATTTAATCAACAATTCTACGGTTCAATTGAATTGAAAGCAAAGCTGTTAAAAAGGTCACAAATCCCATGTTGGGTGTGTATCTGAAATGCACGAAGCACAGACTTCTGGCCAAGTATCACACCTATTCATGACATGCACTTTTGGAAATGTATTTTAGATTTGAACTTTTCTCACATAATTGTTGTGGTTGTTTCACGTTTGCCATATTCTAATATTTTCAATCTTACGTTTAGGGTTTAAGGGCTATACTCAGGTTAAAGGTGGATGTAATATACTGTGTCTCTAATATTCTCACAAATACGTTGAGAAACGCGACACTTTTCCAAAACATGTTTGTCACATCACCAACAGGTATGTGTCTATATGGTTTGTTAAGAGCCTGCTAACAGCTACAAGCCAATTAAATAAAATGTGTTGTTTTCTCCAGGTTGTCCTGTGCTTTAATTGGACTGTGAATGCACACTAATCATGGCTGCAACAGGTGGGCCCAGGAGGACCAGAGTGAGGCCTCGGTTGGTAATTGAAGACAGATACACATTGACAGTCTGTACCTCTATCCAGAGTATGCAATAGTACTCAAGCATGGTAAATTCAAGTGAACATTCATTTGTATCACCTCTCTCACCTTTGTGTGACTAGCGTGTGAAAGCATGCTCTTGCATTAGAATGACTGAGTGAACAATACATTTTAAGAGCGGTAATTGCATATGGCTTAACAATGGCTTTCAGGTTGCTCACATTCATTCATGCTGTACAGTGACGCTGTTATCAAACACTTACAAGGATGGGTGCAGAGATGGATAATGTAATTTCTATATTTAACACGGGTAGAAATCAAAGAGGACCTCAAATTAAAAAAATACTAAAGATAGTAAGAACCAATCTACAAAAATACACTGTATGCATTACACAGACCACTACTCTCTTGGAACACATATGGGTGTGTATGTGTGTGAGAGACACACTGGTGCAGGTTTAAATGGCTTCAGGCTGGTAAGTATGTTTCTGATTTCCTGAGCTGCCTGCCTGGCGAAGGTAGCAGCTTTGCATGCTGGGGTCACACCTGTAACATATTTCACACTGGGATCTTTTTTGAGTGGCCACCTGGAGGAGGATATTGCATGTTCACAGTGCATGAACACACAGACGTCCCTCCCAGGTGGAAACAGGTGTTTGTTTTGTGTTCCTAGGCTCGATACATAACGTATTGTCTTAGAAATGTTTGTCATTACCTTTTCTCACTTCTTAAAAAAAAGGCCACAGAATAACACCCACATTCACTTGTAAATAGTGTTAGAATGAATATGGAAAATGTTCTAATTATTTTGTAAGATAAGGCATTTCTTCATGACAATTGTATCCCACCTAGTATTCCATCTACCCTCACCTCTAATGTAGGCAATAACATGATTTTTAGCTTTAAAGGGTTCTATATTTAAATTAGAAAAAAATGAAATTAGTGAATTGGCTTAAGAGAATCCAAAACATAAAGTGGAACCTTATCCTCACGGTAACAAAAAAAGAAAAAAATAGAGAAATGTAGGCCTACCTCAGAGGGCATTCCACAAGACATTCAATATAAGTGGTTTTCTGATTGTTGTGGGAATAACTAATGGTATTTTCAACCCCAAGTTCTGGTTAGCTGAACTAATTTTTTATTATGTGCATCTTGGGGCATGTGAATGGAAAGATGGATTATGTGAACGCTGTTTCTGTCAACCACAAACATGCTATAAAATACCAAGTACACCTTATGCTGCGTTCAGTTTTGACAAGTGTATACAGATTTTACTACAACAAAACAATTTTTTAATTTTTTTAAGAATGTAAGATAAATAATGTAATCTAGATATTTGAGTGTTAATTACAAATTATATTAATTTTTTATTTTATCTTTATTTAACTAGGCAAGTCAGTTAAGAACAAATTCTTATTTACAATGACGGCCTACACCGGCCAAACCCGGACGACGCTGAGCGCCGCCCTATGGGACTCCCAATCACGGCCGGTTGTGATACAGCCTGCAAATACTCCTCAGAATTAGCCATTTGAAAACCTACTGTACATCTACAATACATTGAGAAATGTGCAATATTTTCTGTTGATTTAAGTTAATTTATTAATTATATGAATGTGTAATCTGTGTATGTATACTTTGTATATTGTACGTGTGTATGTGTGTGTATGTATGTGTGAGAGAGAGAGACTAAACGGGTCAATTGCTCTGGGCATGCTTAGGCCTACATTCCAAAAGTATGACAGAGGTTTAAACTGGTAGCACTAAATGTGATCATTATGCAATATTGTCCTCAGCTACTTTGTTTCCTGTGTAAACAGAGGGACAAGTTCAGCTAATATGCTGGTACATTATCTGGAGTGCAGTAATCATGCCTAAGCTGTGGACAGTCAATGCAGCCACTGGTCTAGTTACCGTAAATACGAATGTTAATACAATTACATTTTAGTTAGCTCTAGTCTTGAGCACATAACAATTAAACAAGCGTGTGTGTGTGTGTGTGTGTGTGTGATAGCATGAGAATGAGGGAGGCATTTGATCTAGAGGGGTACAGTATTTTTTTCCAGAGATACCCTTTGTTGTTCACCAGCGATCTTCACTCTACAAGTATGATCCCTGTTCATTGGGACTTTGGCTTTGCTTTATTCAATACAATCATCAAAACATTAACAAGGAACTGTCTCTAACAGAACAACATTTCAGTAATACCAAAATATTATATTCAATAGGTGAAATAAACTGTTCAAAAATATATTAGACTTACAGTAGATTTTCACAGTTCAGGTAATTTGCCTTCAACATATGTACTTTCATTGTTTGTTTCATTGTACATACATACATTTGATTTGTTGGAGAATTTCAGTGCATTCACATTAGGGCAAATCACAGTTTACTGTCCAGTGAGGGGGGAGTCACTTCAACCACCACCTTTCCCACGTTTTTCCCAGCGTACATGTAGTCCACAGCCCTAAAGACAGACTCCAGCCCAACAAAACGACCCTCGGGGGCCATGTCCCCAGAGTCCACTTCACACACCAGCTTCCCCTTAGCAAACATCTGCATCATGCTTCCCATCGCCTCCTTGTAGTCAGCCAGGAAGTGAGGTAGGAAGAACCCCCTCACGCTGGCTGACTTCTGGAGCAGCTTCACGGGCAGAGTCCCTCCTTTAACGGTCGGGACCCCTGATGCCGTTTGGTACCCTGAGATGAACCCGATCACGATCAGCCTGCCCTTATTGGCCAGATTGTTGACCGCCATGTCAAAGATGCTGCCTCCTATGGACTCGTAGACTACGTCCAGGCCTTGTGGGTACTCTTTGCGCAGCGTGGCGGCCAGGTCCTCGGACGTGTAGTTAATGGGCCTGTCGCAGCCAATGGTCTTTAAGAAGCCAGCCTTCTCGTTGGAGGAGCAGGTGCCCACAACGTGGCAGCCGGCCTGTTTGGCAAACTGCACGGCGAACTGTCCTGTGCCACCAGCGGCGGCCGTCACCAGCACTGTCTCGCCCTTCGCCAGGTCGCCAAGCCGCTTCATGGCGATGTAGGCTGTGGCGCCGCTTAATAGCAGGGTGAGGAACTCTGGCTTCACCGCAGGTACGGGTACGGTCTTGATCATGGGTATCACAGTGTACTCTGCAAAGGCCCCATCGGCAAAGTAGGCCACTGTGTCGCCAACGGTGTAGCGGGCGCTGGCACTCAGGCCGAGTCCGACCACCTCGCCAATGCCCTCGAACCCGGCGTCAAACGGTGGCTTCACCGTAGGGTCGTAGCGGCCTGCTGAGTAGTTGATGTCCGAGGCATTGATTCCAACAAATCTGCATGGAATGGAACAGAGAAGAAATATAAGTGAATGACAATTCAGAATGATTAGCAATTGTTACATAGCATTCAAATGAATTAACGTCAGTATAGGATACTTTGGTGATGTTCTTTAGTGGGAATTTAGATAATAACATGATAATAGCCTATGTTATAATAACATTATTGTTATGCATATTTTAAGATATCCTAAGAGGAGCACTTCAGAATGCCTACAGTAATGTCTGCGAAGGTCAACATTTCAGTTACATTCTCTAGAAAACATCTGTGACATCGTTCGGGAAGGAAACATTGGTTTGTTTTGGCAATGATTCCATTTGTCTTGAAAAAACACCCACCCACCCTACACTGACAGGACAAGGTTTGTATCACAAAACACATTGCATGATGTCATGATTCATTGTCTTGAGAGACACACAAGAACAAACTGCACTTTTAAATCTTGTATATTTCATTTGTCTCGACTTGAAAAAAGACAACTGTTTTCATCTCAGTTGATGACATGGAGAGAAAAAAATCCTGGTGTGAAAGAAATGTATAAATAAATAAATAATGTTCTATCCTCCAGAAGAACCCTCACTGCGACTCATCATTGTGCATGTCATGTGCATTTTGAGCACTTAAATGTACCAGCCCGGTTTAGTTACAAATAAATGGCTCCAATTAAATATATGAAAACATCTAGGTTTGACTATACTTTTCAAATCGCTCTTTCTTTGCAGCCCTTCTGAATTCTGCCGTACCAGTAAAGATTTGAACCTGAATCTCTCATAATGGACCAACAGTACTGAAACACCATGCATTAAAGAAGAGCAAGTTCAAAGGTCAAAACTAAAGTGAACTGGGATCTCTGGCCAGGATTGGGCCTGATATTCTTAAAGATGCTTGATTTTTCAAAATGTGCAACTTTGAATGCACAAGAATCTGGGTCACTGAAACACGATAATAATGCATATCTCAATTTAAACTCAAAATTAGTAAAACTAATTCTGGTTAATAATGCATAAAATAAAATAAAATAACATTTTCCTGATACACAATTGCATTGTGAACCAAAGCATTGCAGAGGCCAAAAAGTGGTCCAGCCATGTCCTGTCCATAGACATGCCACACAACTACAATAATGTTTACCTAAAAGCATTATCCACGTCAATACATTATCTGATATTACGTTTAACTATCACTAATGGTTCCTCTTTTGTGCAATTACCTTAGCAGTGGAGCTGACCCACTCAATTTCTAAATCAAGCTTGTTTCGCCTGTGGTTTGCAGCTATGTGCATTTTATATTACAGCCTACACTATCTAATATATAAAGTCCAGCCTAATTAATGCGTAAATCAGAGTTTCCAAAGTCGTGGGTCATCAATAGCCTACGGAAATGATAATGGCCAATAGGCTATATGTGCAATTAAATGACCTTTGACTACAGTAGGCTATGTTGTGCAACTGTCTTTCCGCCTCAGAGAATGTAACCAAGCAGGCCTTATACCATACAAGGCCGACATAGGCCTAAATGCGACATCACAGACATTTCTGCTAATTCCGAGCTCTGCATTGAGACCATAGAATTGGCCTTTCTGATGTAGTTATTAACAAATAAATAATAAGCCATACCAAGAAATATGCCTTGATAACTAGGCCCTTTAACTTATTTTTTCAGTTGCAGGTGCTTGTGAGGCCTAGTTGTTAGCAGCAGGACCACAGCTGATGAATAGCTAAATGTTGTAATTTTCCAGGCCAACTCATATGATGGGGATTCATTACAGACAACACACAAAGAATTGTTAAAAAGTATGAGGGCATAGGCCTACATAAAAATATAGAACAATATTTGATGCCATACATTTCAATCTATTTCAATCTACAATTCAAGGTTTTGGGAGGCGGAGAGGGCAAAGCACCTAACCTACCACTGCATCAACAGTTCTTTATTTTTTCCAAGATGAGAGATAGGCTACCTCTCCATGGCAAATTGGATTTACAATTCAATGTTCCACGATTTTCAAGTTAGAAATGACATACAAGACAATACCATTTTTATTTATTCCCTAAATTACGCATACAAAATTACGCACACAAAACAAACCTGTGGAAAAAGGTTTAGGCTACATATGACAATTTATGTAAATGTTAAAAGCTATTTGATCTTTAGATTATGCTACTATGTCCTTGGTCTCTAAACCATAACGCAAGACCCTGCCTTTATTTCACTGATCAATTGCGCTCTAATAGGCTATACGAGCATTGACCGGCATTTTAATATCTCTTTGACTTAAATTGTAGAAAATAACCAGTTAGATTAAGTTGCCTACATTCCTGCTCTGTTACAGTAACCTGTTAATTTAATCAACATTTGTAAATATCTTGCTTTGATGCATTGGTTTTATGCAGCGGAAAATGATGATCCTGCCGCAGCCCCAAATGCCATGCAAAGCTGCTTCTCCATCTCCTCATCTATTCGTGCGAGTCTTTACTACCCCCCCCATGACTTTCTGTTTGCAGGTTCGTGACGTAAGGAGACAGGACAGAGCGAGATGCCGAGATGGATTGATAGACAAATGTAGGGGCGGAACTTGGAAATATTCCTCCCGTATTTTGCTCGCTCCTGAAATGGTCGCAAGTAGGCTACTAGTATCGATGGGGATGGATAAAGCGATTCTAACCGAGGTAAGAGACACTTTCATAACTTCAAAACAATACCAAATAGTTTATTAAAGATAATTGCTCCAAAATGTGCCCAATATTGGAATAGTCTATCCATAGGCTATAGGCTACGCACCCGCGGAAAATGGGAACCTTCTGTATCCAATTTCTAACCAAAACTTACCGATTTCTGACAAGCAAGTCCCCGTCGCCAGGTGTCGGGACTGGAACAGTTTGCAAGGCAACGGCGTCTCTGAAATTCTGGCTAAGCTTCGTTACGACCAGCTTTTTCATGGAGCTCGGTATCGAGGAACCTTTAAAATCCATGAAGTGCGTAGAGTATGACAAATCTATAATGAAGCGCCGCGATACGAAATGAACTCTAGAAAGTGCGTCGGTTCCTCTGCATCCTCCGCCGATGACCGAAAACACCCTCTTACCGTTTCTCAATAAGAAAGAGGTGGACATTGCACCAGGGAGGGAATATGTGACAAAGTTTACGGCACTGGCTGTGCATTGATATCAATATGCTTATCGTTAGCCTATGCTAGGCTTTTCTTCACGTAGCAGGGTAGGCCAATCTAAAGATGCGATGCAATGCAATTAAAACACAATATTACCCAGCGCGGTTTTGTCGCATAAGATCGGCACGCAATAATGTGCTTTTAGAATGTTTGCTTTGATTATAACTAGGCTATAGCACGACACAACCTTGTAGCAGCAGCCAAACTGTAACTGTAGCGGCTTGTCTTCTTTGGAGTCCCTCCCCTTCCCGGACATGACACACTTCCAAGTAAGGTGAAACAAATCAATCGGAGTCTCAAACATATCCTCAACGATTTTACACAAAATGCCAGAATAATTGCCAACACAGCCAGTGCCAACCACAATCATTCAGGTATTAACAAGCACCGTTAATAGGCTATTATCTGCAGAATATATTTTATCCTCAAGCATGCGTAAATTATGGTGCTCACACGTTAGGAAACTTCAGCCCGAATGTCCCAAAAATATGCAAGTCCAAAGCATTGCCATGTTGGGTTTGTTATAGGATAGCATATGTCAGGCAAAATAAAGTTAGTGTAAGTTTATTTCATATGATGATGATAATGATTAGCCTAGTTGTAGTAATATAGCCTAACCTAGTAATAGCTTTGTAAAAATTGAGTAATTGCTTTAATAACATTCTGCATGAAGTTTATGGATCGATATTTCAAAGGAACAATTTGACATTAGCCAACTGATGCAAGCTTTCCTTTGTCAGTCATTTCAATTTTAAGATGAGGAAAAACAAGACAATTAAAAAGATTGACAGGTGGGTTCTACTGTCAGGGTGACGCTTGTAGCGCGAGGGGAGGAGTAAAAAGGAAGCAGGAAAAGCCACTCGATGCGTCTGTCTATCAGTTGAGACTGTCTGAAACGCTTCTAGATTCCCTGCGTTTCATTTTTTTTCGGAGCACCAGACGAGAACGGTTCACTCCCCTGGAGTTTACAGAAGAAAAATTCTCTCCGCGAGGGTGGATGCCTGCATCTTGTTTGTTTCTCTTTAGTCGCAGGATCTGCACCACATCAACCACCTGCATATTCCTAGATCGGCGGCTGATAATAATTATTTTCACTAGAAATGTAAGTAGAATCCCTACCGCCCCGACTCAACCTAGAGAGGGGAGAAAAGTATCCGCTGACGGCGAGGCTTGATCCGACTAGGTGGCGTGGTGACGGACTGACATTAACCATCTAATGCCTGTCTATTTTCTTTCAATCCTGTTTTGTTTCAGATCTGAGCTTGAAGAAGCGCAGCCTTCCACGGAAATACATTTCAAAGGTGTTCGCTCACACTGGACTTATTTGTTTACCATCAGAGTTTAATTTATTTTGGAGTGAAGACCATACAAAGTAGCCCCAACACCGCCATATAGTGATTTCACCCCCCCCCCGCCCCATAGTGATTTCACCCCCCCCCCCGCCCCCATGGCAGTAGGGGAGTGACTGAAACTTGGCTTCGATGTCTGCCTCTTCTCCTGACACACAGAGATGAGGGAAGATGATCTTTGATAGACATGTTATGAGCTGGCGAAATTCGTTCATCGTTTTGATATCACAGAAACCCTTTTTTCGTTTGTCCTTTATCTTCTGTCATTTGTTTCTATTCGTAGGCCTAAAGGACATATTTAGTTACATTGTGGCCGTTTCAGGTTGTCTGGCATAAGCCCACAATTACAAAAGAAACAAACCATTCTAATAGAAAAACTGTTGACAGCTATTTCCGACAAAAAGCTACGGGATGGTTTTTCTCCACTGACAGACTTATTGTTTTGATTCCTGCATGAAAAGTACCGTGGAACGTGACGGTCACTATGCCGAGGAGAAAGCAGCAAGAACCCAGGCGATCAGCAGGTAAGCACGAGCGCACACATACATTCATTTTCACCTTCTCTTACTCAATGGAGATAAAATGTTGGAGTTTTTATTTTAATTCACTAAATGTTTTCTTTTTCCCTTTTACATTTCTCATGTTATGCATATGTAATAGCCTAAAAATAAGTTTTACTTTCAACACATCTTCATTAGTTGACCATTATTATTTTATATTTTGGCATACGAATTCAGTAAACCAGGTGCATTTGTAGTGACACGATAGGCCTAAATTGTGTTAACTTGCCAGAAAAGTCGACTACTTGGGTAGCTAGATAAACGAAACGTTAGAGATAGAGTTTCTCTTGGGGTTCATTGCAGTGTTAAAGAGTGAGTAATAATGAATAATTGACTTCAAAAGAGGGGGAGGAAAACTGGCCAAAGCCGGTTTTCTTTCTTTTCGGTTTTATTAGAGGATTGCCATCATTGATTTGATGCGTGATTGATCGCCTGTCATGTGGCAGCCTTTGATCTATTCATCCCCGATAAACATCAATACATCTCTCCATGAAGACACGCATGCTCCATACGGATTTAGCCACTCAAAGGACAACCCCCCTGTTGTCTAAAAAAAGGATGAAAAAAGTTTTTAAAAGGAGGGAAATCCTTATCTCTTTATTATTTTATTGGGAAAACACTAGAGGGAAGAAAGAGAAAGAAAGAAAATGAAAGAGGGAGGGGGTGGAGGTGTTTTGAGGATCACAGAAAGGGCTAAATCCTAATTATTTAGGGCACCTGAACTAGCCTACCACCAGTAGCCCCCCTGGTTTGGGTTAAAGACAAGGAGGTTTGCACTTCTTATCCAAATGCACACCCTCCTCTCATCCTACAGAACACTTTACCAATGCAGTCCATATCTACATCCACAGGACTGTAGTATTTACTATCTGACAACCACTGATAAACCAGATGTCGAAACACAAGGTTGAGGTCTAGTGATTTGGATTTCGACTCTCTTCTCTTTTTCAAGCCGCTTTAAACAAATGTAAATGAGTGACAGAGATTTCTACCTCTGTGCTAATGAGGTTCAGCCTTTGAAGTTAGGCATTAACAAGTGGAGTGAACAAAAGACAGTTATAGAATTTTAAAGAGATTCTGAAATATGAGGTGTAAAGCGGACCGAACAGGAGGGCCAGGCAGCAAAGACTTTGAACTCGGCAGGTTTATCATTTGAAATAGGTGCCAAGTGATGGGGAGACAGTGTGGATTGACTGTGAAGAGTATTCAACTAGTACTTCTCTCTAAAGCTCATACGCTTCTGACACAGTGTTGAATAGCAGTCTTATGCTTTAGTCTTATATAAGACATTAAATATACTCACTGTTGAGTAGCATCTGATTCGTGTCTTGTATCACATGAAAAAAGCTGGGTAGCAGGCTATAGGATCGCATATAGGATGCTTCCCAACAGATCTTACATGAAAACATGCCATCACCTTGACCCCTCGACATGGTCCTATTGATCTGCTTGGCTGTCATTGACCGGCTTATACATCATGGCCTTTAATGGTCAATCACAACTTGGCAGACGGGAGTGTTTCCATTCTGTCATGATCATGACAGTTGGTTGGAAATAACAACACCCTCCAACCCTCCCCCTTTAACACAAATACAGACACACACTCAACTAAAGCATGATGGTCCAGTGTTTCAATGCTAGCTAGTAGCTACTGAACCATGCCTGGTACTCTGTAGCCTATAAGGAAATAGAGTGGGAGAGTTGAAGGGGAAATCGCCATGGTAGTACCATGGGTCCCGTGTAGCTCAGTTGGTAGAGCATGGCGCTTGCAACTGCCAGGGTTGTGGGTTCGATTCCCACGGCGGGCCAGTATGAAAAAATGTATGCACTCACTAACTGTAAGTCACTCTGGATAAGAGCGTCTGCTAAATGACTAAAATGTAAATGTGAAAGAGGTTTAGAGAATGAGTACTCGAGCGACCATCGGGAAAAGAGGTGGTTGTGAGTTATATTTTCACTGAGATGGTTGACGCCAGGTTCAACCAAAACAAATGTGGAACCCTAGGGGTACAGGACTGGACCTTTAGAGGAGGGCTGAATGAAGTACCACGAGGAGACATGTCTGGACTAGTTTTATACACACAATATATAGTATTGGGCACTCTTATTTTGTTATATTTTCATTGTAATTCACTAGTGTGTGTGTTTGTTTTGTGTGTGTGTGAACGTTTAATGGTTATAATGGGGCCATAGCCATACAAAAGGCTTTTCCCTGATTGACAGTATACGTAGTGTCATGGGAAAACCATAATATCTACTCCTCTTATTTCAGATATCCTGTCATTTAAGGTTAAGATGAGCTACGGTTTCTATCCTACAGTGTATTTAAGGCAGTTGGTAAGAGTGTGTGTATGTGTGCTACACATCACTGTCTGTTACTTTATTTCAGCCCTCATTTTGTCCTTGAATATCAGTTTCAGTTGATGGTGATGAGGACAGGAGCGATGTAAAAAAAAAAGAGAGAAGAGTGACGTTGTCTTTCATTAAATTGGGGGTTGTGTGTCGCAGACAGTCAGAGCTAGTAGTTTGGGGAGAAAAACAGCTTATTCTCAGGGATAGAGGCTTCTTAATTATCAGTGAGAAAAGGTAAGGTTGCTTCTCCGGGCTTCATTAGAGAAGGCCCCTAATTATCTGTAAACCTGATGGATTTGTGACAGGCTCTAACGATTAATGCTGACAAATTCAGTAAGGTGTCAAGTCCGCAGCTGCCTTGATGTAATCAAGTTGATATTATACAGTCCCCATAGCCTCTAGTGCAGTATCAACTCAATTTGCTCGTGCAGGTGACAAATGGATTTTGCTACCTGACTAATCATGTCGGAGTAGACGATGCCTCTTAATGACCTCCCTAATCCTCTGCCTTTAACAACGTAATAAAGGCCAGACACACCGAACCAAAATCAGCTTCGTCGTCACTTGTAGGCTACCCTCCTGCATCAAATGGCGGTGCAATGTTTATTTTTCCCTTTATATATTATAATAACCGTCATACTCCTGTACTTCTCTTTCTTAATATCCCATACGATCGTTACTGTGCGTAAGAAGGAAAATTATACACCTCAAACTAGTTTTGAGGGTTTGTAAATGTTTATAATGCGGGAAATGTAGCTACAAGTTTAGCCTATTTTTGTACAAAATTTGGTCAGTGTAATATGAAATGATAATAATGAGATAATAATGTGTTAATATGTTTATGCAACATAATTCTAGCATTCAAAATATAGCTTTTATTTGTTAGGCATTTTAATTTGATGGGGCATTTTGTAAACATTTTGAAGCAGTACAATGAGGGACACACACACCTTTTCACGTCTCAACGTCTAAAC